TGGGTACATGGAGCCTTAGGGTTAGGGGCAAGAAATTGAGGTGTAAGGCAAACGGTTTGGCTTTTAGGGTTCCGTGCTTAGGGTCTGGGGTCAGGGTTTAGGCTCTCATGCTACTTATAGGCTCCTGGGCAGTGAGAAATAGTGGGGGGGGGGGGGACATCATAGTATACTTATATGGGACGTACGAAGGCGATGATTGTTAGCTGGTCAGAGCCCCATGTCGTGTTGCTGCAACACCCTACAACAATTGGAGGTAAGGATGCCTTAAACAGAGGGTACACCCCTGGAATGACTGACTATGATTGGTATTGGGAGCCGCCACAGGTGGTTCTGAGTAGCTATGACCCTGATTCAGGCACATGTCAGCTTGCGACAACTCCTGAACTTCGGAGTGAAGTTAGAGTCTGACCATACTCCAGTGTGTTTTCTTGCTGAGGTTACATGACTTCTTATAGGGCTGAAAGTGCAAAAAGGGTTAAGCAAGCAAGTGAAAGACATTGCAAAGTATGGTCCCCCATCATGCAGAACCCTTGGAGACCGTGTAGAATCACACATATTTATTTAACTGTCGACAACTTAAAGCCTCGGCGCCAACCTGGAACTTCGTCAGCCAGATAACCTCGCGTTTGTTTCCCTAAGGGTCCATGTGCCCAAATAGTATATACTTTGGCCTCAAAGTTCCTATATAGGGACTACTTTAAGGCCAAAGTATATGCCGTTTGGGCACATGGACCCTTAGGGTGTAGACTTCATGGAGATCTATCCGATCCACGCCCGGCCTGAACTGCAAGCCTCTAAAGCCGTAACCGAGGATGCCAGCACGCACAGCTGAAGGACTTGGTGTCGTTGCTTTGCATCCCCACCGCCACTTGCCTGAGTACATGTGTGAGCAGCTTTGATATTGAAGGTGGGGAATTCAGGAGGTTTCGTGTATATGTATGTATATATATATATGTATATATATATACTACATATTCGAACTCCTCCTCACCGCCACAACAGAAGCACGCCAACACTCAGACCTTCATCGCCATCATCATCTTTGATGTACACGGGCGTCTGATTGCCTTTGAACAGGCATCTTCGCAGTCCTGTTTTCCCAAAGGGTCCTAGGTACTGTTATGGGGAATAATTCCCCAAATCATAATAGTAATTCCTAATATAGAAACCCTACATTCTACCATATAGGTACTTAGGCCCCTTTGGGTTTGCCATGTTCGCAATTATTGGGGCACTTGTTGCGCTTCCCCCACAAGACTACGGCACTCGTATGCATCAGAAATTTTCGCGAACCAGTAATTTTACAACGCTGCTCACATCATCTCGAATGAATTTCGGGATGATGGCAAAGCTACCCTAAACCCTAAACCCTAAGCCAGCTCGGCTGCTTTCATCTCAGGCCCTAGGCCACCGCCTTGGCAAAGCCGCTCGGGCTCTGCGGCAGGTGTCTTTGGGGGTTTCAAGGTTCAACCCTTTTAAGGGGCTGTCCAGGGTTTTGGGATGTGTTTTGAGGGTTGAGCCTAAAACCTAAACCCCTAAGCCACGAAACCCAAAACCCTAAACTCTTCAGGGTTTGTTGAGTGTTTCATCCTTTTGGGTTGAAGAGAGCGTATAGGGAGTATAGGGGCGGTGGCAGGCGGCGTCGGGCTTGAGTTTTTTTTTGTTTGTGGTGTCTACCTTAACCTACCAAAACCCACTTTTTTTTTGTAGGGTCCCTATATAATAAATTCCATATTAGGGTTTGTAAAAAGTAGTAGGTTTTGGTCCAAATGGTAGGTTAAGGTAGGGTGTTGCAATGGTGTAGGGATTGAGGGCACGAATTTCAATAGGAAGGATGTTGGGGTTGCTTTCCACGTTATCATTGCGTAGATGCCACGTCTTACGATGAGTCTTGGTTGCATGTGTCATTCGACATCCAAGCCAAAACAGCGTGCGCGCGAGTCGTGGATGGCAGTCTGTGCGGGGGTGAAGTTTTGATATGTATACTCTGGTGATGGGGAGCTGGGATACAGGTGGGGTCACTACAAAGTGCGGACAAACCTCTGAAGAATTGTCGAAGTGTTCTTTGCAGCAGAGTCCCGAAAACCCGGTAATCCAATTTCTTGTTTCAATCCCTTGACCCTAAACCCTAAGCCCTAAACCCTAAACCCTAACAATCCCTGCTGCCCAACCATGCAGCCGCTATACGTCTATGACCGCTGAAGCCTCGAGCTGAGGTTTGCAGGTCTAGGATTTTGGGCTTACTCCCCTGCCCCCCCTCACCCCAAAGAGAAAGCCTAAGTAACCCCTAAACCCTAAATCCTCAACCCTAAACCCAAAGAGAAAACCTGAGTAAACCCTAAACCCAAAACCCAAAGAGAAAACCTGAGTAAACCCTAAACCCTAAACCCAAAGAGAAACCTGAGTAAACCCTAAACCCTAAACCCAAAGAGAGAACCTGAGTAAACCCTGAACCCTAAACCCAAAGAGAGAACCTACGTCCCCTAAATTCCACGGGGTTTTCCTCCATCGTGCGGGAGCGCAGGAGCTGGCCCGAGCCGGCTGGAGCGAGCCTCGCAAGGACTTTCCTGATACCTACCCATAGGCTCCAACGCAGTTCCTTTTTGGGATTACCTTATTATAGGATTCTAAATATGAGCCATAAAAAAGGAACTACTTAGGAGCCTATGGGTAGACGCCTGAATGATTATACGCATAATTTGAGACTATTCCTCAGAGTTCAGGGTTTTAGGGTTTAGGGTTCAGGGCCAGGATTCGGAGCAGAGAAGTTTCAACTATTATTCCTTTGGGTCCCTTATTACTTTCATCGCACTGTTGAAAACTATACTCCAGTCCGAAAGAGCCCCAACCTAAATTTAAATGTGCTCAGGTTTCAAACGACGGTTGCAGCGAAAGTCCTGGCTCCAACAGTCATACACTGAACCCCTGGAATCTAGAAAAAAGACGCTGAGATATACCATCTCACTGTAGCCAGAGAGCCCCCTATACCCCCGAATTAAGGAGTCTACCTTGAAAGCATAGTAAGGACACCTAATTCCTTCATTGCCTTGTCCGGTTTTTGGAGGATTTGGTCTTGTCCGAGATGAGCGAAGCCCTCGAGCGAGCACCACCACTGCCAGTCGAGACAGCGGCGGACATCCATGTGGACGGAGGTGTCCAGGATATTTATGACCCAGAGGCTCCATATATAGTACCATTATGGAATAGGTCCCTAAAATCTTAATAAGGATAGTCTTTTGGGACCTAATTCCATAATGGTACTATATGTGGAGCCTCTGGGTGATCCTGTTAAAGGAGCAGCTGCTCTCGAGAATCACAGCATCTACCGGTGGGGTGCGTCGTTGTGGTGGGTGCAAACCTTCAGCAGCCCCATTGCGGGAGTTCCTGTTGAATGGGAGTCGAATCGAGAGCAAACTGGGGAGTTTCACTATCCAGAACCCTAAACCCTAAACCCTAAAACCCCAAACCCTAAACCCGAAACCGCTAGACCCTAAAACCCCGAAACCCTAAACCCCTAAACCCCTAAACCCTAAAGCCCTAACCCCTAAACCCTATAAACCCTATAAACCCTATAAACCCTATAAACCCTAAACCTGAGAATCCCGACTTCCAGGCTCGGTTCATGACGAAGCGGAGGGTGAAACTCGGAGCTTTCGGGACCGCAGGCTCTTCATTCCTCCAAAACCCCAAACTTTTCCTATGTACTGTTATGGGGGATACTTCCCTAAACCATAAATCGTAATTCCTAATATAGAAACCCTACATTCTACTATATAGGTACATATGCAGGATTTTGTCCATCAGCCGTAGGACCCTTTGGGAAAAGAAAGCCTAAGCTCCTCGCCATCTCCACTTCTACCAAAGCGTCCCGTCCTGAAATGTCAGCTTCTACCCTGGACCCTAAAGAACCTGCCTGTTTAGGGTTGCTTACCTTGGCTTCCTGATAACAAGTCCTGAAAAAGGTAGGTTCTTCAGGATTTAGGGTTTAGTTAGATGGCATTGCCCCAAAGACCCAAAAGATTGGTTCGGTTAATCTACAGCCCTGCTACTACTTGCCCGGGCCGAAGGGGGGGACCTGGTAAGCAGGTATTGTGTAACGTGATAAGTATCAGAACCGTTTGAAGGTACAAATATGGCTTTTCTTATAACTACCAAGCCCTCCTCGTATCCTAAGCCCAATTGCCTGCTTATTGGGTGCTTTGGACTCTGAGGATACAGTCCAAAAGCTACATGGGCACACCCTTGCAGTTCTTCCGAGATGACATCGTCTACAGGAACTTGTATGTGAGCTAAACCCTACACCCTAAACCCTGATCCTACCGTTTAGGGTTTCGGTTGTAGGGTGAACCTGAAACCTTGAACCCTGAACCGAAACCTGGATTCCAAGCCAAAAGCTGCCAGGAGAAGTTTGTGCGAGAGATGGCCGCTAGCTTCGACGCTCGCTGCGTTTGTGACTAGGGCTCAGGGTGCTGTGTAGGGGTTATTAGGGCTTAGGGTTTAGGGGTTTAGGGTTTAGGGCTTAGGATTGAGAGTAACGTTTTACATGAGCTTTTTGGGGTACTATCTTCCCCAAATCCTAAACCCTGAGCCCTATATAAATCATAGAATCCCAGAGAGCACCGTTAGTTCGCCTGGGAAACCGGACAATCACAAGTAAGTTCATTGTGCCGGACTTTGGGTTTCGGGTGTTGTCTATGGTTTAGGGTTTATAAGGCTTAGGCGAGTTGAGGGCTTAGGAGAGTTGAGGGTTTAGGTGAGTTGAGGGTTTAGGAGAGTTGTGGGTTTAGGGCTGCCCGGATTGATGAAATCCGGTTCGCAAGCTTGGAGCCTTCCAGTCAGCAACGCCAGAAAGCCCAAAGCCCCAACGATGCCACCCCTGGAGCCCGGAACCCCTATAAAACCCTTCAGTATGGTTTAGTTAGGGTTTAGGGTTGAGGGAGCCCCCAAAAGATAAAGAAGCTGTATAGTGTAGAACCCTATAGAACCCTTCTAGCAGACCCAAAAAGCCTCTTGGGTTATTAAACCTTCTAATGCCCGAAACCCCTAAACTTCCCTAAACCCTAAACCCTACTCCCCAAAACCCCAAAATTCCCAAATCTCAAAACCCCGAAACCCTGAACCCCGATCCCCCAAAACCCCTACATAAACCCCTATAAAAACTCTTACATAACTACATAAACCCCTATATAAACCCTAAAACCCCTAACCTCTAAACTCTAAACCCCGAAACCTTAAAACCCAAGACGCGTAAACCCTAAACCCTAGACCCACTGTTGATGATCGAAATCCTGCATTACCTTAAGGACCCTAAACTATGGGAATTATGGTATATTCCTTATTATGGGTAGTGCAGGATTTATATCATCAACCGTAGAACTCAGGAGCAACGCGCTCGTGAGTTCCAGCGTCAGAGCGACATCAACTCCGCCCTGGTGAGGGGAGGCAGCGGATTCAGGCTTAGGGCTCAGGGTTTAAGGCTTTAGGGTTTTGGGTTTTAGGGGTTTAGGGGTTTAGAGTTTAGGGTTTAAGGACTTCGGGTTTATGGTTTAGGGCGACAGCGTCTAGGATTTCTAGGGTCTCGGGGCGTGGGGTTTAGTGTTGATATCTTTTGGCCCTGTATGGTTCTTATGGCTCTGAAGATGCACGCACAAGATGCAGCTAGTGAACATTTCGACGGACCAAAAAAGTTTGCATTGCAGAGGGAGTTAGGAAGCTAATTCCAGACACGTGTCCGTTTCGGACGGTTTCTAAAACAACTTCCGCTGTGAATTCTGCCTTTTCGAAGCGTAGCGAGCTTCTAGCTTCAGATTTCAACGTTAGTCCCTAGGCCCTAAACCCTAAACGAATTCCGGTTCTGTTCACTCTTTTGGGGGTTGAAGGTTTAGGGGTTAGGGTTTATAGTTTAGTACGCGATTTAGGATTTTGGGTTTAGGGTTTATGGGTTAGGGTTTATAGGGTTTAGGACATTCCAGAGTCAGTTCTTGAGTGTAAATTCCAGGGTGACTTCCGGAAGTCGTTCTGAAATGCGCAAGCCGCACGACAGCCTGGGCGGTCGGAAGTCACACCAGAAGTCAGTTTACAACAGAGACACCTCTGGAAATGAACTGCATGCGACATGCAAGAAAGAGATTTCCAGGTTGCGCATGCTCGGTTTGTAGACAGTATTGTTCTGTTATACTGTGGCCGTGTTTTGCACTTCTGCATAGGTAGTGTATTCACCACGACTACTACTGTCAGCACCAGCGGGTCGAGTTCACAACCCCGGCGCCCAGCATCAGCACCACCACCTCCACTTGTCCAGGAGAGTCACTGTGGCCATGTTTGCACGTGTGGCCTGAAATCTCTAGATTCTGGTCCTTTTTAGGGTCCTGTTTATAAGGGTGCCGTGCTATATTAAGGGCCTAAGAAGGGACCGCAATTTAGAACACTGCCCGCAAATCCCCTCAAAGGAGCTGCCCCTGCCTACACTCTCTCGGCATCAAGCGGCGACGAGGCCCCGGCAAGAGGGTTCCGGGTTCACAATGCCACTTTCTGGGCTCTTGTTAAGGAACCTAATTAAGTTACCACCATAGGGATCATATGGTTTCCTCATTTTAGTAACTGAAATTGACTCCCTTAACAAGAACCCAGTTTTCGTTTCGAAACCCCCAACTGAACACGCGGGGCATCAACTAAATGCACCGCGCAACTTGCAGCACAGCGTAGCTTTGAATTGTTGCTGTACTTATGTTTATGTAAGTACATGTCAAAAAATCACACACACACAGACCTCATATATATATATACATACATATATATATATATATGTATATATATATATACACACAAACACGCACACATAGCCTCTCTTCCTCTTGCTCCGTCTTTCTCCCTCACACACACACTCTCTCTCTCTCTCTCTGTCTCTCTCTCTCTCTCTCTCACTCTCTCTCTCTCTCTCTCTCCCCCCCTCCCCACATATGTACATGCATACATATTATATATATATATGTATGTATATACAGGTATGCACAGAACGTAAACATACATACATACATACATACATACATACATACATACATACATTTGTTTATATGGAGGGAGAGTTATAAGAGATAGAGAGAGATAGATGGACAGTTTATGTGACTATAGCGGACTGAAGATCATGGATCTCATTGTGCAGGGTGGGGGCTGGAGGATGTGGCTTGGTGGTTTAATAAGGGTTTGGGGTTTAGGGTTTAGTCTTTAGGGTTTGGGGAAGGGCGGAGAAGTGAAGTACCGCTTGGGGGTCCTGCGGGCTCTGTTTCTTGGATCCTTTGAGGAGTTTGGGGGATTGTTCAGGGTTTGTGGATTAAGTTCAGGGCGGTCTTGAGGTTTCAGGACTCAGGGTTTGGGGGTCAGTTGTGTGGGGCAGCAGTGTTGCAGTAAAGACCCACATCGTGAGTTCCACTCACCGTCGAAGCAGGCACCTCCGGAAAGCAGCTGCAGCTTAATCTCTGGAAAGACTGAGGATTCAAAGTTGAAGGTTTAAAAAAAGGAAAGACACCCACGCACATCAAAGCACCCGGAAACCATGAAGACGACCCCTCAAACCGGCATATGTGGCTTCCCACTCCTGATAATGCCTAGCAGTCGCAATCAAAAAACGCATGGCAGAGCCATGTTCATAGCCATTCTCAAAAATTTTGCTGCCATCATCCACACCGACATCGGCATAAACCCTAAACCCTAAACTCCAAATCGACACAGCACCATGAATGCATAAAATTAACTCTTCGAAGCCGCAGCCGGAAGAATCACTAGATTCCTGTACCCCCTGCACCCCCAAAGCTGTTTGGGTGTTGCGGCACTTCAGCACTCAGGGTGTAACAGGTTTTGGGGTTTAGGGTTGAGGATTTAGGGTTTAGGGTTGAGGGAGCACTCAGGGTGTAACGACATCTAGATCAAGGCGTACGCCGGCTGAGGGCCCTTTCAAGGTAAGGGCTCAAGGAATGCTAGTCCCCTAAAAAAGGGGGGGGGTTCTTAAGGGTCCCTTTAAAGGGCTCTATAAGGGTACCACAAGGGAGGGAGTTTAGGGTTTAGGGTAGTTCGTGTATGAAGTCTTTGGGGCCCTTGAGAGATTTGGACTGGCTTAGGGTTTAGCCTTTAGCGTTTAGTGGTTTAGGGGTGTAGGGTTTAGGGTTTTAGGGTTTAGGGTTTAGGGGTTTTGGGGGTTTAGGGATTTGGGGGTTTAGGGTTTGGGGTTTTAGGGTTTTGGGGGTTTAGCGGTTTAGGGGTTTAGGGTTTAGGGCAACTCCTCCTAGACTTGTCTCAGCCCCTGCCCCAAACCCTACGCAGACCCCCCAAAAAATCCTACCCGACCCATGCACGGGCTTTGTGTTCCTAAACCCCTAAACCCCAAAACCCTAAACCCCTAAACCCCAAAACCCTAAACCCCTAAACCCTAAAGGCGAAACCCCTAAACCCTAAAGGCGAAACCCCTAAACCCTAAAGGCTAAACCCCTAAACCCTAAAGGCTAAACCCTAAGCCGGTCCAAAACTCTCAAGGGCCCAAAGACTTCATCCACTAAACTAGGAACCCAGAGATTCCTTGAGCCTTACCTTGAAACGGCCCTCAGCCGACGTAAGCCTTGATCTTGATGTTGTTACACCCGGAGTGCTCCCTAAACCCTAAATCCTAAACTCTAAACCCTAAACCCTGTTACACCCTGAGTGCTGAAGTGCCGCAACCCCCAAACAGCTTTGGGGGTGCGGGGGGTACAGGAATCTAGTGATTCTTCCGGCTTCGTCTTCGAAGAGTTAATTTTATGCATTCATGGTGCTGTGTCGATTTGGAGTTTAGGGTTTAGGGTTTATGCCGATGTCGGTGTGGATGATGGCAGCAAAATTTTTGAGAATGGCTATGAACATGGCTCTGCCATGCGTTTTTTGATTGCGACTGCTAGGCATTATCAGGAGTGGGAAGCCACATATGCCGGTTTGAGGGGTCGTCTTCATGGTTTCCGGGTGCTTTGATGTGCGTGGGTGTCTTTCTTTTTTTTCCGTAACTTCTCTCCAAGGAAAACCCCAAACCCTAATTCCCTAAACCCTAAACCCTGCTTGCTCAGCCTCTGACGGGAGTCAAGTTCAGGGCGTCTGCAAAAAAAAAGGGGCCTTCATAACGAGAGAGGGGTTCTGGGCTAGAGGTAGGGCTTAGGGTTTAGGGTTCTGGGGTATATCACACTGCAATCTCTAATGAGGGGGTTTAAGGTTCAGGGTACAGGGTTTAGGGTTTCGACCCAGAACCCAAAACTCGCGACAGCCAGGCACTCCAACTGTGGAAAAGGAGGAAAACACCGCAAGTCGCGACTGCTCTCGAGGTCAAAGCAGCGGAGGATGAACTCGTCCAGCCCTCGCCTTAGAGGGTTCAAGGGTTTAGGGTTTAGGGTTAGGGTTTAGGGATCAGTTTTTTCGATATAAACCTTGAACCCCAAAAACATCGAGGATTAGGGCAAGGGTTCAGGGCAAAGGGATGTGGCCTAATTTGAAGGGTCTTTGGGCCAAAGTGCGGGTCCCCACATAGAGCTTGGCCGTCACAAGGTGCAAGACGTATCCATGTCGGATGTTTGAACTATTTCTTTTTCGAAATAATCTTAAACCCTAAGTAGGACCATCAAGAGTGCTTTGCACCATTGTCAGTCTTTTGGATGCGGACTGATAGCTCGCGAGGTGAGGGCTGTGGGTTTTGGGTCAGGGATTTTGAGTTGACGACGATAGACTGTATATACACAGAATATAGAAGATAGAGAATACAGATACGAATTAAAAAGAACATGTAGAAGGTATCGAATACAGAATATATAGCATGCAAAGTAGTATATATGTGGGTGGTTTTGGTTTTGACCATTTGTGGTAGCCGGGTCCAAGGTCTTCATGGGATTCACAGATTAACACCTTTGATTGGAAGCCCTGCAGCGAGAACAGGAAGGTATTCCGGGATCTTCAAGACCAACCTCGCCACAAGGGTTTAGGGTTGAGGGTTTAGGGTTTAGGGTTTAAGGTTGAGGGTGCCGCAGTACTGTGCACTCCAGCAATACACTCCGAAGCCACCAGAGGATAGTTACCCGAGTCAGCGCCGCTCTTCGCGTCCACACTGAAAAGTAGCATGGACTATTTTGAACTTGAACAAGCTTCTCCGCAAAGGCAGCTACACACGTAGCAGTTTCTTGTGCGAAAGCAGGAGGACGCCTCTCCAAAGAACCGACCCACATCCAATCCAGTTCAGTAATGCTATATGTGGTTCTATGCAAGCTTATCGTTCGGATCCTATAGCAAAAAGTAAGGAAGGCACAGATTTGAGCTACATTGGAGAGTGCACTTCAATCGCTGAACTCCTAAAGTCATGGACCCCGCTACTCTAGAGTCCTTATACATGGAAGCCTAAAACGCCTCCGTAGCTATAGAACGCTATCCCAACCCTAAGCCCTAAACCCAAACCCACATCACTAGAGAAGGCTGCTCTCCGACAGCAGCTCCGGTGCCAGGGAGGCGGCTATGGTCGGCATCGCATGCCTAGGCTGGAGTCGAAGTGTTTCTAGGCTTCAGGGGAGCTGAAAGGGTCGGAAAGCATCCTAATAAGGCCCTAACCCCTGACCCCCTTACACCCCTAAACCCCTAAACACTAAACCCTAAGCATTTTAGGCTTTAAAATTTAGTGTTTAGGCTTTAGGGTTTGGGGTTTCCTGGTACTTGGAGCCTCAGGCTTCAGCGTTGAGGCTTGGGTTGTTGGGGTTTTGGCTTCGAGGTTCCGGGGCTGGGGCTTAGGGCGGTGGTTCGGTTTTGGGTTCACCGTAGGGTTCGGGGTTCGGTTTGGGGGCTTAGGTTGCAGCGCTGAGGGCTAGCCCTGAACATGTAACGCTACGCGGCTACTCTGATCAGGCCAGACTCAGCCCCAAAGGGGGGACACCAGACGACGATGTGCGGCGGCGTTTTGGCCAATCACCTCGAAACAACCGAGCCTGAAGCCTCAACCCTCCCCGTTGAATGTCGCGATGTCAATGAGGCACCGCTGCCCTGCCAAGGTCCCTATCACAATTAAAAGCCCAGTAAATGTACTACTCATTCCAGCATATGGCGGGTCCCACTATTGCTGCGATTTGCCAACACAACGTAAGACATCGAGGGAGAATTAGACCATGCTGCGATTGGCCGCCGAAGCGTTTCACGCTGCTTGCATGGTGCCCCAGTTCTTTTTTCCGACCTTGCAGTCCCTGGGCATAGCCACACCCAGAGTAACATTTTGGATGGTGGCCTTGCTGTATATAGCACACGCGTCTATAACCCTAGAGCATTGACGTTCAGAGGTACGCTCTATCCTACCATGACGATTGAGGATACAAGGTACGAAAGCCTAATTGGCCTAACTCATGCCGCAAAACTTGACTGCGGGTTTGTTTCACGTTGCTGCATGCGGGGCACAGTAGGAAATTCAGCGCGAGGTCTTGCAGGTTCCCCAAGACGGAAACCCTAAGGAGT